ACATCTTTCTCTCTCTCTCTCTCTCTCTCTCTCTCTCTCTCTCTCTCTCTCTCTCTCTCTCTCTCTCTCTCTCTCTCTCTCTCTGTGTCTCTGTCTCTTATCTCTCTCTCTCCCTCTCTCTTTACTATTTCACACTATCTCTCTATGGATCGATAACAACAACAACAACAACAACATCTCTCTCTCTCTCTCTCTCTCTCTCTCTCTCTCTCTCTCTCTCTCTCTCTCTCGTCTTTCTCTCTTCTGTTACCCTCTACCCCAAACCCGTTCTCGAAACTGGACAAACAATATGCATTCCCACAGGTTGTATATGCATAATAAAATATCGTAAAATGCAACATAAAAATTTGCATTTGTAAGGGAGTAGAGGACCATTTGCACACTCTAAACACGCATTGGCTACATAATGTCAGAACTGTATTTTTGAAGGTTAATTGAGTTCAATGGGTCGTGGGGTCAACAGCACGTTGGCAGGCTTTGCTTAGCAGGATGGGATCTGCGTGGTCTCTAGGTATGGTGTCCGCCTCGAGTGCTTAAGGTCCCGGGGTCAGGCCCCGTTGAAGGCTGGTTTTCTTTTTCTGTTCACGTGGCTTTCTAGTAATTTCCCCTGGTCTCTGTATAATGAGATCGGATGCCCGTGTGTATTGTTGCACTTAAAAAAATCCCTTGGCATTTGGAAATCGTTAAGAGTAGCCTAACGGAACTGCTCAGGCAAAATTTGCAGTTAAAAATCTACCCAAAATATTTCCAGATCCTCGCCGGTGGCACAGAGCCCGTGCACTGCGCTGAGCTACTTCGGACACAGACTTGAGTAAGAAGTAGAAAGGAGCACTTATCAACAACAACAACAACAACAACAACAACAACAACAACAACAACAACAACAACAACAACAACAACAACAATCTGAGACCTGTCTCTCGAGTTTCCGTAACGTGGACCTGCCAAACGTTTCATGGTGACTGATGCTCTTCGACCGATGTTTAGCCTTGTCCTCTGTGTAGTGGGACAGCTCTGACACGGAGTACGAGTCGTCTGCGATATCGTCACCAAAAGCTGAAGCTGCATTCTGGGTGAAAGTGATAACGCTGATTTCTGGAAGCTGTGGATACAGGAAAACAGACAGAGCAATCAAACAAGCCAGCCAACAGAAGAGGCCGGTCAGTCAAACAAGCTGATCATCAAGACTGACCAATCATACAAGCAGGTCAGCAAGACAGACAGAGCAATCAAACACGCCGATCAACAAGAGAAAAAAATAAATCAAACAAGCCGATTAACAAGACAGACAGATCAATCAAACAAGCCTATCAACAAGAAAAAAAATCAATCAAACAAGCCGATCAACAAGACAGACAGATCAATCAAACAAGCCGATCAACAAGACAGACAGTACCATCAAACAAGCCGATCATCAAGATAGACAGATCAATCCAACAAGCAGATCAACAAATCAGACAGTACAATCAAACAAGCCGATCATCAAGATAGACAGATCAACCAAACAAGCAGATCAACAAGACAGACAGATCAATCAGACTAGCAGATCAACAAGACAGATATATCAATCGAACAAGCCGATCAACAAGACAGACAGTACAATCAAACAAGCCGATCATCAAGATAGACAGATCAATCACACAAGAAAATCAAAAAGACAGACAGATAATCAGACAAGCCGATCAACAAGATAGACAGATCAACCAAACAAGCCGATCAACAAGACAACAGGTTAACCAAACAAGCCGATCAACAAGAGAGACAGATCAATCAAACAAGCCGATCAACAAGACAGACAGGTTAACCAAACAAGCCGATCAACAAGAGAGACAGATCAGTCAAACAAGCCGATCTACACGACAGACAGATCAACCAAATAAGCAGGTCAACAGGTCAGGTAGATCAGTCAGACAAACAGATAAACAGGACAGACAGACAGAGCAGACAGATAGGCCGATCGATCAATCGATAGACAGAGAGATAGACAGAGAGACAGATAGACAGAAATCAGATAGACAGAGAGTCAGACAGACAGGCAACCGCAACAGACAGACAGACATAGACAGAAAAACAGAGAGACAGAGCTAAGACAGACAGGCAGAGAGATAACAACAACAGACAGACAGAGACACACAGACAGACAAAGACAGACAGGCAAACACAGAGACAAGCAGCTAGACATAAATAACTTACCGCAGAAGCACCTCCTGATTGCTGAGACATCCTTAGCAAGAATTACTTTTCTTTATACCATCCACCAACAACATGTGACTCCTGTAACACTGCTCGTGTATACTTTCTGCTCCTCTTTGTACAGACGATCACCACACAACACAAACACACTATAAACGGTTCCTGATCTATATCACCCCAACACACAGCGTGGTGCCCGTATCAGTTCCTGGAATGTGGGTGTGGTGGTACGGTCTTCGAGTTACGTTCGAGTTGTTTGCTTTACATGATCGCGTATTTCGAGTCCTGAGGTGTACCTGGCGACACAAAGGAACATGTCATACCGACATGAAATATACAAGTGAACAAAGCATTATGTTTGGAAAATGTCAAATGAGTGTTGATAAGAGGGGATTAAATGCAGCACAAGCTGGTGAGAACAATAGGAAGACAAGGGGTATATGTCAGCTGTACGGAAATACCACCATAAACATTCGGAGAGAACGTTGCAGCGACAAGCTTTCATCAGTGATATTCTGTTACTTGATTAATTCCATACGATAGTATTGTATTGTGCTATGAGGAGGAATGGGACTAACAGCCCATGAGGATGGCGAGTGCGACTAGCAAGACCCGCCAGCCTTAAAAAAATGTCATCCACAATTATAGTATGAGATTTCAGGACCATGATTGTCACGGTGTCTAGTGTGTTTTTCTCAAACGCCCAGCTCTCCATGGCATTGTGTTGCCATGAGTCCACCTCAGTACCTGTATCATTCATGTCCCGCTTGCACACATCTTTACGTCGTAATAGAGGTCGGCCTCGACACCATCTACTTGTCTTTAATTTGCCATAGAGGATGTCCTTAGAGACTAAGACATCCTCCATTCTATGGGCTAGGGGGGGGGGAACTACAACACCCCAACACCCTACATGTTCAATCAATATTACCAGTGGCCTTTCATCGAAAAATATGGTAGCCGCATTTGATATTGCAATACAGATCGAAAGAATTTGATGTGTCAGTTGGGACAGTTCGAAAGGTTTTTCGTTAGAAGACGTACGGGTACTACGGGTGTACCAAACAGCAGAAGGAGAACCGGCTGGGAGGATGTTTGAACCACTTCCAGTTTTACAGAGCGGAGGGCAATGAGTTTCTCTTCCCCACAATCGAGGCAATGAATGTAATGGAATCATGCTAGATTAATACAAACTCGAAACAACTGGAGTTAAGGTTATGCTGACAGTGTTTTTTTTTTTTTTGAACCATGAGGAGGATTTTTGGCAGTCTTTACAGAACCTGGTATTAACATCTTCTTAAACCACCACTTGAAAACACTAGACAAGCCACATGAAGCAATAACAAATAAACACCCCAGCAGGTTTTTTCGCAGTGTGATTTTGTTGCACGATAGTGCTCGTCCGTGTGCTGCACAGACGGTTTCGAAAGCATTAGTATGGAAGAAGCCGGAAATTTTGCAACTCCAGTCTTTGGTACTGGTTTGTCAAAATACGATTTTTATTTGTTTAGACTTCTAGAAAAAGGACTCAATAAGCAACGATTTCACTCAGCTCCAGACGTAATGAACGGGTAAACACTTGTTCCAGCGAGTAACCGCAATCTTGCTTATTTTTTAGGGCGGCATTGGCCGCCTACCTAAGCATTAGAGTGCTTGTCTGAAAGCATACGGTGAGTTTTTCCTCACCAACCCATGGAGAATTATCCGTTAAAAATGAATGCTATGTTTAATTCTGCAACGCCTGTTGATGTTTCTTTCATGCTTTTGTTATAAAGCCATTATAAGGGGTTTGAAATCAACGTTCCTGATGTGTGTGTGTGTGTGTGTGTATATATATTATATATATATATATATATATATATATATATATATATATATATATATATATATATATATATATATATAAAGTGGTGGCAAAGTGGTGGCATCGAATGTGAGCTAAAGACGATGGATACGGCACAACGGAATAGCAAATGAGTAACTGAAAGAATTAATGAATGAAGAAATGGATGATGCTTGTTTGCCGGCTCGAAAGTATTCGCATCGAACTGGATAAATGGTTCCCGTGCCGGTCCAGCCCATAATAGGTACCAGAAAATGTTGTAGAAAGTAGAGATGGTTAGCGTCATGTTGAGACACATCGGCCATCAGAAACTAAAAATGGTTAGCGTCATGTTGAGACACATCGGCCATCAGAAACTACAAATGGTTAGTGTCATGTTGAGACACATCGGTCATCAGAAACTAAAATGGTTAGTGTCATGTTGAGACACATCGGTCATCAGAAACTAAAAATGGTTAGCGTCCTGTTGAGACACATCGGCAATCAGAAACTACAAATGGTTAGTGTCATGTTGAGACACATCGGTCATCAGAAACTAAAAATGGTTAGCGTCATGTTGAGACACATCGGTCATCAGAAACTAAAAATGGTTAGCGTCATGTTGAGACACACCGGCTCAGAAACAAAAGATGGTTAACTTCATGGTGAGACATATTGGTCATTAGAAAGTAGAGATGATTAGCAGCATGTTGAAACACATGGGCCATCAGAAAGTAGAGATGATTAGCAGCATGTTGAAACACATCGGCCATCAGAAAGTAGAGATGATTAGCAGCATGTTGAAACACATCGGCCATCAGAAAGTAGAGATGGTTAGCGTCATGTTGAGACACATCGGTTAAGAAACTAAAGATGGTTAACTTCATGGTGAGACATATCGGTCATTAGAAAGTAGATATGATTAGCAGTATGTTGAAACTAATCGCCCATCGAATGACGACTGTTTTATGCAATATGTGGTTATCACTGCATGCCAGATTTAACATCCTCCTTAACTGAACAAATTATCTATATAAATAAAAATCAATGTTTGTGTGTTTGTTTATGAGCTATAGACTCGGAAACTGCTGAACCGATTTAGCTGAAATTTTCAGGATATGTTTGTTTTGATACCGGATGTTCACCCATCATGGTTTGAAATTCAACCTGTCATTGTTAGAGATAGTGTGCAATAATTTTTGGGAAAATCTACGAAACTAATATTTACATTTTTAGTGACAGGCAATTATAGCCACGTTAGTAAATGCGCATGCGCCGTAGTCAGAACGCAAGACTTCCACCATTCGCCGGCGAGATACGTACAGTCAACGCCTTCTCTAATAAATAGAGTAGGCAGTGGTACAGCAAACAAGACTATCTCTCTATCTGTGCAGGCAATGATTGCCACAATAACCATATTAAACACGATTTATATATATATTTTTTTTTCAAACAACCTTCGATGAGTTGTAAAGTAGCCGATGGATTGGAATGGAAAGGGGGAGGGGGTGGTGGTGGGGGGGGGGCATCAAGGCCTATATCGACGTTGGCGCAGACATTGACTGCGACATTAGCCGTGTTAGACACCTGCGATTTCTATTGTTGTGCCGTTTCAATAATATATCTGAAATATCTGTCTATGAGAAAACAATTGCCTGCTTTTTTGAGTTGTATTATAATCGGGACACTGTAGTAGGGACACACATCTCAAATATTTTTAATCTATTTTCGTTTCTCCGATGAAGTGGCTGCTTGGTCGAATGGTTAGAACACTGGGCTCCTGTCCGGGAGACCAGGGTTCGAATCCGCAGCATTTTTTTTACCCTGGGCTAAAATAAAACCCTCACCTGCACTGTCGTGGCGACAGCACTAGCCATGTGGCCCTTAATACTAAAAAAAAAAAAAAAAAAAAAAAAAAAAAAAAAAAAAAAAAAAAAAAAAGGACAGGTGTGTGGGTAAATCAGTTGATAATTAAATTTGACTATTTCGCATACTTATGATTTCATTTAAAAACTTTACAATTGCATGGTTACGCTGAAATTTCATTGCTTTCCATTTATTTTATTTTAGATTTAATTATTTCATCTGCGTTGGAATTTTAAGCTTTGCTGTTTACCATAGCGTTCTTTTAATAATTATGGTGTATTTTTCCTGTTTTTATTTGCTATTCAATTGTTTTTTTTCCCCTCCCAACTACTTCAATGAGGGAAAGAGTAGTCGTTGAATTTGGGGAGGGGGGGGGGGGGGGGGGTGGAGTGGTGCAAACTGTTTACTGAGAGAGCTTTAAGTCACAGTAACTGCCTTACCCACTCAAAGTAGCAGCAGCAGTAGTAGTTGTGGTTGGGCTGTTACACATTAGTGCTCTCATGTGAAGACCGCCGGTAAGGTTATGGCGTTCTG